TCAATGTTTAAGGCATCGTGTTCGCATGCCTTTTCGGTCTCGTAGGGGTCTGCAATAATGTGTTTACTTTGTCCACAGAATTTATCCAATTTAAGCCTTTAGAGATTGTTGCAAATAGTCTTCCCCATTCAGCCATTATCCGTCTCGGAGTTTCGATTCCACACTGTATGCCTTGCTTCATGACACTGCTATTTGTGTTTTCCTGAAGTATATGACTGATTTATACTAAATATGTATTTCTAATACAATCAGATTGCCTCAAAGCTTTCTTCCCTCATTCATAAGAGATATGAGGAAATTCGAGGGGAATAGTACTTGAATCATGCGCGCCAAGAGTCCTAGGCTTTTATGCCTATCCATTCAAATCGGCCCACTATTCGCCTGTCTACTTTGCCTTAAGGTAAAGCGTGTATGTTACACAGGGCGAAATTCTTTAGAACCAAGAGTATTTGAATGTGAAATCACTGATTGAGTGGAGCAAGAGAAGTGTTTTATTGTGCATTATTGAGTAAACGAAGCGCAGCTATGGAAATGGCTGATTTTTCTAGGGGTGCATCGGTTCCTATATTTTTTATCGAACTAATTTCGATTCTACCTCCGATCAATTAAAGACGGCTTCATTTTTGCATAGGGTCTCCCTTCATTATGTATATCAAGTGACATGAAATTTATTGCAGTTCATTTCGAATCCCTCGTGGGGTGCTGATGAAAAAACAGAGCGAGTCAATGCGAAATCAAGTTTACACTAATATGGACAGATTATCTCTCAATACAATACATATACCAGTCTAAACTGGTACATTCGCTGGCAATTGGGCTGCTGATAGCTACTAAAGTCGAATGATCACTGAAACGTCACAAAAATCGTCTGGTTGGTGAGGTGTTAGTGATTGATTCTTCAATTCTGGTCAGGGAAGTACGCATTCTTGAGAAGGCGCCAAATGCTGATACATATAGAAATCATCCATACTTATCCTTAACTGAGTGGTTACTCGCATGGCGCTCGTGCACGTTTCCGTATGTTTCCTCACCACCGTAAGAAAGATATTTGACTTGTCAGCGAATTAGCCCCCTCCAAGAATACTTTGCTGATTCACATTCAAACAATCCAAAGCCCATGCGTGCTCACGCAACACCTGTCTGCACTAAGTCGCTGGCGTCCGGCAGCTAAATCTAATTAAGTAGGTAGGCTTGTCTTGGCACCACAGCACTGATGACATCCTGGGGATAACAGGGTCCATTCAATTCACGCATGAAGTCTAGCCGTGGTCCCAGTCCATAGCTGGCGGCTAAAGTATCACATTTTGAGGCTTCGACGCGCGCTGTAACGACCAATGTGCCTGGTCTAGATCTACTTAGTATTTTGAGCCTAACGCCACTCAACTCTACCCCGCCTGACACCCCCGATGGCCCTTTCTCATAGGGCAAAGCATAAATGTTGGACTGAGCTTCTTTATAGGACATCCAAACGATATGTTCTCACCCTCCTGCAGATAGGCTGGATTTTTGCGTCACCAATTCGAAGACGCTCGAAAACTTAGACAAGTGATAATTTTCACTCTGAATGGATATCTCCATTTGGCTCTCGTGTTGCTCACTCGTCGTGGAATGTGCGAATGCCCCCAAAATGTCAGATAGTCCTTTCCAATAAATACCTTCTCCTTTTGACCATCGAGATGGGCCTACCCTCATACATATTAGAGCGTGAAATCTGGGTGACTCCTAAAGGCAAAGCCTGCAAGACAGTTGAGACCCTTCAGCAACTGAACGGCTCTTTTTGCGTCAATTCCTAGCTTCTGATACGGGAGCGGTCCGACTTCGTCTCCACAACACTCGTGAAGTCAAACATGGCTTCATTTTATCCCATTTGTCG